CTACTCAGGAGGCTGAGGCACGAGAATCGCTTGAACCCGGGAGGCCATTGCACTCCAGCCTGGGTGACAGAGCAAGACCCTGTCTCAAAAAACAAAAATTAAATAAAAATAATTGGTAGTGACAATAATTATATGTACAGGACACTGACTAATCATGGAATTCGGTGCTGGACATAAGACTCAATACTTTCTCTCTATGTGAGTCTTTACATTAGAAAATTCCAAAGAACAGAATACATAGGTCTGTGACTCCTTCCAAAGATATGGGTTAAAACTGCATCTACCATGATGAGCATCAGGGCCACAGCTCCAGTGTTCTGTAACAGGGCATGAACAGAACGAGAACAGGTTTATTTTGTTTTATTTTTAAATGCCAATAGTATCATTAGGAGTCATTCTTCTTTCCCTTAGTCGTCTAAATCCCCTATTATTTGATGATGCAAAAGTGAGCTTTCACGCAGGTCAGCTCACCTTTCATGTAGGTGCACCAAGGTGGCAGTGAGCAGTGTGGCCGAGGTGGGGGCCGGCCTAACTAGTGTCTCCGTGTTCCCTTGCCATCCCATGCCCAACAGCAGGAGCTCATCGAGAGCATCAGCCGCAAGCTGCAGGTGCTTCGGGAAGCCCGCGAGAGCCTGCTGGAGGACGTGCAGGCCAATACTGTGCTGGGGGCCGAGGTGGAGGCCATCGTGAAAGGCGTCTGCAAGCCCAGCGAGTTTGACAAGTTCCGGATGTTCATTGGAGACCTGGACAAAGTGGTGAACCTCCTGCTGTCACTGTCAGGCCGCCTGGCCCGGGTGGAGAATGCCCTCAATAATTTGGACGACAATGCTTCTCCTGGTGATCGGGTAAATACAGATGCGTCTGACTTGGAAATGGGGGATGGTCTCGTGGGAAGGCTGTTTTTCAAGTGTTGTGAAAGTCAGCTCCTTGGAGCCTAGCATAGCTTCCACATGACCTGTCCACCTCCTCCTACAGACCTTGTCAGGACAGTGCACACGCTATACCCTCTCCTTCCTTTTATATTTCTTTTTTTTTTTTTTTTTT